GCCCGCCTGGGCCAAGATGAAGAAGGAGAATAAAGGGCAACTGATTTTATTAGATGCAGAGATTTTTAGAAGTAGAGTAGGGGCCCTAGTAGACTCAGGGGCCACTCGCAACTATATTAGTAAGCAAGCGCTGCAGAAGTTGAGGCTGGGACTTAAGGTCCAGAAACTGATAGATCCCATAGTTAGTATCCTCGCGGACAATCGTACCATGTTTGTAGAGGATTACGTAGAGGGAGTTCAGGCGTATTTCCGCCTAGAGAAAGATGGGAAGGTGGAGAAGGTCCTCCACTCCCCGACTCTCCTTGTAGAGGACAACCTCCCGTTTGATATAGTACTGGGAATGGATTGGGGAGAGGCAGCCGGGGCAACGCTCCATCTGAAGGAGCACGAGTGTAGACTCCCTAGTTCTGCAGGCGAGGCTAAGACTGCCCGCCTGTTTCATGTGTCAGGAGTAGAGAATTCCTTGGCACATTGCTGCCTTAGTGCCCCTGCGTTCGCCAGATTGGTGAAGAAGGAGAAATTAGAGGAACAGGTCTTTGTTGCCTATGATAGGCCTGTCACTGAGCCTACGGAAGAGAAGCCGATGGACCCTGCGATTGCCATGCTGCTGGAGGAGTTTAAGGATTTGACTGATCCGCCGACAGGCACGGTGCCGCGGCCCATTTAGCACCGTATCGAGATAGAGCCTGGCAGTAGAACTCCTAAGGGTGCTGTGTATAGGATGTCCCTGCGGGAGTTAGAGGAGCTTCGCAAGCAATTAGACGAGCTCCTCGAGAAGGGTTGGATTAGTCCCAGTTCGTCTCCTTTCGGAGCGCCTGTTCTCTTTGTTCCTAAGAAAGAGAGAGAGCTGAGAATGTGCATAGACTATAGGGGTCTGAATGCTATTACAGTAAAGAATGTTGAGCCACTGCCTAGGATCGACGATCTCTTAGATCGAGTGCAGGGGGCTAAGTATTTCTCTAAGATAGACTTGAAGTCCGGATATCATCAAATAGAGGTACACCCTGATGATCATTATGTAATGTGTATAAGACAGCCTTCCGGACTAGGTACGGACATTATGAGTTTATAGTGATGCCCTTTGGACTAACCAATGCGCCAGCAACTTTTCAGCGGTGTATGAATGATTTGTTTAGGCCGTGGTTAGACAGATTCGTTGTAGTTTATCTAGATGACATCCTAGTGTTTAGCCGGACCCTCGAAGAGCATCGGGGTCATCTCAGGCAAGTCTTGGAGAAGCTGAGAGAAGCTAACTGCAAGATCAATGCAAAGAAGTGCGATTGGGCGAAGACCCAAGTTTTGTATCTAGGCCACGTCTTAGACGGAGATGGCGTTAAGCCAAAAGATAGCAAGATCGCAGCGATTAGAGATTGGCCCACGCCACCACCATCGCTGCGCCCCTTCGCAGATTGCTGAGAAAAGAGACAATCTGGAAGTGGGACAAGGACTGCACGTCCGCCATGAAGAAGCTAAAGCAGGCGTTGATAGAGTATCCGGTCCTTAAGGTCGCCGATCCGTCCTTGCCTTTTGTTGTTATTACGGATGCTAGCCAGTACGACATAGGCGCAGTGTTACAACAAGACGATGGCAATGGCTATAGACCCGTAGAGCTCATGTCCGCTAGGATGCCTTCAGAGAAGGTTGCGACATCTACCTATGAGAGGGAACTTTATGCTCTCAGGCAAGCATTAAACCACTGGAAGCACTACTTGCTTGGGAGGCACTTCAAAGTCTATTCGGACCATGAAACGTTACGGTGGTTAAAGACCCAGGCCAAGATGACACCAAAGCTTACTAGGTGGGCCGCAAAGATAGATCAGTATGACTTCGAGCTCAAGCCTGTCAAAGGGAAGTACAACGTAGTCGCAGATGCTCCGAGTAGGAGAGCAGATTATTTTGGGGCAATAGTACATTACCTCGATATAGGAAAGGATCTGCAGCAGAAGGTAAGAGAAGCCTACGCGCTGGACCCTATCTATAGTGAGCTCCTCACGCGAGTCAAGGAGGCCCCAGAGACCGAGCCGAACTACCGCACTACTGGAGGGTTACTCTTCGAGAAGACTAATGTTTTTGACCGGTTGTGCATCCCCAATAGCGAAGAGATCCGTAGTCTGATTATGGGGGAATGTCACGACACAGAGGGTCATTTCGGTTGGCAAAAGACTTCGGCCAATCTGATGCGCGCGTATACCTGGCCAGGGATGAAGAATGGCTGCGTACAGTATGTTCGGAGTTGCAAAGTCTGCCAGCGTAATAAGAGTTCTACGCACGCCCCGCTAGGTCTTCTTAGACCCTTGCCCATTCCGGATCAGTCGGGAGACTCAGTGTCAATAGATTTCATGGACACTCAAGTCAAGAGCAGACATGGCAAGAGCCAAGTCATGGTCATAGTTGACCGCTTTAGCAAGTACGCAGTTCTTGTTCCTTTGCCTTCTGAGGCGCGTACTGATTTAGTCATACAGAGGTTCTTTGACTGTTGGGTTAGTGAGAACGGAATCCCGCTGTCTATAGTTAGCGATAGAGATAGTCGCTTTACTAACCAAAACTGGCAAGAACTCGTGGGAGTATACGGATCTAAGTTGTTGAAGTCGTCCGGCCGCCATCCAGAGACTAACGGTCAGACAGAGCAAATGAACAAGATCCTACAGCAAGTTCTGCGCATGTATATTAGGCCAGATCAGATTAAMTGGGATGAGATGTTGCCTAAAGTAGCTAGTGCGTACAATAACAGCGTGCATCTAGCCACATGCCGCACTCCCAACGAACTGCACAAGTCCTTTAGACCGCGCAGACCGTTTGAGGGACTCAACCGGGATCAGATTCAGAGATTGCCGCCCGGGACCCGGGAGTTCGCTGTACAGCACGAGAAAGAACTAGCTATTGTTGTAGAAAACCTCAGGAAAGCCCAACATAGGATGATAGAACAAGCAAACAAACATCGTCGCCCTTCACAGTTTCAAGTAGGCGACTTAGTTTGGGTTAGTTCAAAAGAGTTTGCACCTGAGGAGAACATCTCGCAGAAGTTACTGCCCACATATAGAGGACCGTGGCCTGTTCTTGAAGTCAAGGGCGGTGAAGATGGACCGTCCTATACAATAGAACTACCAGCACACCTCCACATGTATCCAGTTTTCCACGCATCGAAGTTGCTACCTTGTCAAACAAGTGATCAGTTTCCATCCCGTAGATCAATGATCCCACCTGATATGGATGGAAGGTATGACATAGACGGTATAGTGGCTGAGGATGTCTTCAGAACCGGAGGTAGGGGTCTTTCGCAAAAACAGTACAAGGTTCATTTTAGTTATCAAGAACCGGAAGACGACCGCTGGTTTACAATATCTGAACTTCTAGAGACAGCTCCCGATATAGTCCGGGCCTATGAAAGACAGCAGAAGGGTAAAGGTCCTGCCTTGGACTGAAATTTTCTCGGAGGACCTCGAATTTAGGCCGGCGGGAGTGAAACGGTATTCACCAGTTCGCAGTAGCAAATGCAGATCCCAGGCCTCGATCCCTAGTTCCCCATCTTACCTGTGTACAGTATTGATGGCAACCCGTAGATTTGAACCTGCGACCTGTCGAAACGCCAGTGGTAGGTAGATTGTCGTAGGTCACAGCTTAGAAGGGAATCGAACTGTAGACCTGTAGGGTAGGAGTCTAGACAGTTCCGAAGTCRTAGCTGTAGGATGTCTGAAGGGTCAAGGTCGTAGCTGCTACTTACYTGAAAGGGCAAAGTCGTAGCTGCTACAGTACCGAAAGGCCAAAGTAGAAGTTTCTAGAACTGGCCTTTCRGAGTCAGCCCCTGTTTAGGCCGAGGCAAGTGGGCAAGTGGTGTRGGTCCACTCCGTAGAGTCAGCAGTCCCAGGTAGCCCAGTCCGGTCCAGTCAAGCRAGTACCGTCTGGGACTATGCACATCGTGGGCCAAGRGATACAGGGCAGACCAACACCGCACAAAAGTATAAATCAAGAGGCTGCGTCCAGCCATTCATTCATTCCTGCGGATGCCATGCGGAAGCGCTGCCTCAACAGCTTGTGCGAGGAGGTCTGCAGTGCGCCCGAAGACGAAGAGGGCAGTGAAGTGTAGTGTAGCGATAGGATAGTGGAAGCCATAGCTGCCATAGCTATAGTAGCGTGTGTGTGTGTGTGTGTGTGTGTGTCGCGTGTAGAGTGTTGCATGTGGGACATCCAGGGTGATCCAGAGTGCGAACAGTGAGTTGTGTGGGCGCTCAGTCGCCATAGCCAGTTTGAAGGGAACTCCTACCTGGTTACGATATCTTTGAGTACTGTGTGGGCGCATGTCGCCAGTTTGCTGTTTCGCTGTTTGCATGCATGACAAGTGTGAAGAAGTCGAGTCTGATTGCAACACAGGCAACACCTATTAAAAAAATGTTTGTCTGCAATCTTTTTCTTCTCTCTGTTTTTTTTTTTGAAGTTCTAATCCAAAATTTTAACCCTTGAATTCTTCCGTTATGCTTCCCTACTTTGATTTACATATAAAAAAAAATGCAGGAACGGTTTGCGAAGAAGAACGAAGCTGAAGACCTCCGGCGTGCTTTCGAGCGCCTCGATCTGAATGGTGATGGCAGGATTGATGCAGATGAGATTATGCAGAACTTCAAAATGCTTAATCACAAATGCAAGAGGGTTCTCTCTCTCTCTCTCTCCTCCTCCTCCTCCTCCTCCTCCTTGTCCTCGTCGTTGTTTTCCTCCTCTCCCTCCTCCTCTTCCTCTTCGTAGGCTGCCCTTTTATGTTCACGCTCATTCACCCTTCAAGACAATCTCCCTCGTCTTGTCTACCTCCGCCTACCACCCTTCCACTCACAGTTCTTCCACTTGCAGAAGTTGAAATCCTGGCCAACCCTTGCGAAATAAGTTAAAAAGAACAAGAAAAAGGTTACGGTTTCCAAAACCACTTTGCTGGTCTCCTCTCCTCATCACTGCTTGCTCCCCCATCATCACCACTATCACCACCACCATCAGCACCACCATCACCACTCCATGCAATCAACACCATCTCTACCATCACTACCATCACTACCATCACTACCATCACCTCCATCACCACCATCACCACCATCACCTCCATCACCACCGTCATCATCACCGCCACCTCATCATCACCACCGCCATCAGCACCACCATCACCATAGCTCATTGTCATCACCACCATAGTCACCAATGACTCACCATGACCACAACCTTGACTTCCACCATCTCTTGGACTCCTTCCCTGTTCAATGTCACATTTGATGACTACCCTCTCCGCTTCCACATGGCCACCCGCTGTGTGTGTGTGTGTGTGTGTGTGTGTGTGTGTGTGTGTGTGTGTGTGTGTGTGTGTGTGTGTGTGAATATTCACCAAAACATCCCCCGTTCCACCCAGATGAGTAGGTCCAAAATCGCAGCAACTTCACCTCTATTTTAGACGATGAAGCATGCATGTGTAAGATGAATCAATCCACCAAGGAAACAGTGTTGCCTTCTCCATAATCGGCAAGCAGAACAGAAACATTGCCTTTATGCAAGCAATGCCTACATGAGTAGATCCAAAATCATAGGAACATGACCCCTCTTTATGCGAGCAATGCAGCACACTTGAGAGAGGCCTGCCCAACAATGAGACAGTTAGTAATATGAAACACAGCAGATCAATTATATCGTTTTCTCCACTATATTTGCCGATGTTGTGGTTGGGAGGCCTCCCAGTTTATTCTTACAACACCCCTCTTACTGTGCCTCTCACGTGCAAGGCTGGCCACATTGATGATGGTTAAGCACCAGCTTCCTGCATCCCCATGTGCCTTAACGGCCCACTTGCACGTTATGAAAGGAGGCAGAGTAAAAGGGGTGACTTCTTGTATTTTGTCTGTTCTCTTGGTGATGCTCTTTCGTATGCGTTTATGAGTAGTACACAAGGATACACATGGACGAGGAACACACAAGGGGAGGAGGTACAAAAAGAGGAGAGAGAGAGAGAGAGAGAGAGAGAGAGAGAGAGAGAGAGAGAGAGAGAGAGAGAGAGAGAGAGAGAGAGAGAGAGGGAGGGAGGGAGAGAAAACGCACCGTTGGAGCAGACCATTCTTAGAATGACGCAAGGGGTCAGTCAGTATTCAGGCTGCTGGGGATTTTGTGTTAAGGAGTACCCGTGGGCTATGGTAAGGGGCCACCTCTACAGACTGGACAGCACCGGTTTGGGTGTGGACTGTGAAAGTATCGCATCCAAGTCTCACAGTCCCAGTTGCTGCAGCGAATGGCACGGCATAGGCAGATGTCACAGGCCACGTGGCTCCCACATGCGAGGAACACAGGGGCGCGCCAACCGCAATTGTACAGGCATTGCCATTCGAGCCCGTCTAAATTGGACAGGACATGTCAGGGTGCCGTACGTGTTGACTGTCAGCATACGTATGAAAACAAAAACTCGCACAAAGTGTGCCTTCATAATCCTCACGACACAATGCATGCAACCTACATGCTAACCGGATCTCAGGTGATCATCACAGAGTGGCATTGAGCAGGTGTCTTGGGTTCCCTCATTACTGAGTCCTCTATGTGTGTGTGTGTGTGTGTGTGTGTGTGTGTGTGTGTGTGTGTGTGTGTGTGTGTGTGTGTGTGTGTGTGTGCTTAATGAATCATAGGGCCATGGTGGCGTGAATCACTGCGAGCTCGTTTAAGTACGCGATCAAAATCATAGCAGGACATAGAGTGATCGACATCGTATGGTAGATACAGAAGGCACACATCCTAAACAAGAAAGGATAAGAATGTGCATACAGCGGCCTCTATCTTTCACCAACCCTACAAAGACACAAGGACTAGAGACCAAGGGCAGTTGGCCAGAAGGCAAAAAAAACAGTGAGCCAAAAGCAGCAATCCCAAGGAACAAGGCAAAGGACAGCAAGCAGCAAACCACACAACCAACAGAAAGGCAATTAACGACAACAGGTCACACAGGCTGGAGGGCACGGGGGATGCCGGCGGGCGACGAAAAAGTACAAGGCAACAAAGGGAAGGCAGACGGTAAAGGAAAAAGCATCTGGCAACAAAGCATGCGATGAAGTGCAACAACAAAGGACAAATGTAGGAGGGTAAGGGGGAGGTGGGTGGGCACACAAAGGCATATGGCAACAAGGCGTAGAATGATAGGCAGGAACAAGGACCACCAGCTGGAGGGCATGGGGGAGGCATGAGGTAACAAGGCATGTGACGTCATGCAGCAACAAAGGGCAAAGGCTGGAGGGCAAGGGGGAGGTGGGTGGGCACACAACGACATACGAGACAACAGAGGACGACAGGCAGCGATAAAGAGCAGAGTCTGGACAGCATGGAGGAGGTGGGAGGGCAGACGACACTCAAGCACACAAAACAGGCAAACCAGAGAAAAAAATAAGTACCAAAAAAACACGGAAGACATGAACCCTTTGACCCTTGTTGAAGGCAGATAGCAGCGGGGAGCAACTCAGCCAAGCACCAGGCAACGCTGCAGAGGCAACAGGGCTGCTCAACACCAAAGACTACTGCAAGGGATGACATGGTAAGCGAATGCGTAGCGAGGCAACCACGCAGAGCAGCACAAGGGGACATCAACAAGGCAGCCACGCGCATAGCAGCAGGCAACAACTCAGTGAAGCACCAGTCAATGATGTCGGAGCAACCCAACTGCACAGCCGCAAAGACTACTGCAAGGAATGACAGGGTGAGTGGACAAGCAGAACGGCAACTGTGCAGTGAACCACAAGGCAACACCTACAAGGCAACCAAACTACAAGGCATGCAAGCAAAGGACACGGAGGGCACGGCCAGCAGATGGGCGGCAAGGCAGCGGAGCAGCGAAGCACAAGGCAACACCAACAGCACTGCCAAACCACACAGCGAACACAACAGCTTCCCGAGAACGACCTGCGAAGCAAGCGCGACGGACAGCAAGGCAGCGGCGGAGTGCAGACGAGTCCACACATCCAACATGGAGCAAAGTGGCACATCAGGCAGCAAAGTGGCACATCGCCTGCACACATCACGGGTGCAATTCGACTTCTCCCATTGTATGTTCGTCGATATTCGAAGGCCACAAAGTGGGAGATCCTGGATGAGCTGATATGAAACCCGAGAAAAGCTGGCCCATGGGAGCCTTTAGCTCCCCACAGATATTTTGGTTCCCACCACCCCCTGAGCCAGGGAGTCACTCCGACAAACAGTCGTCATCACCAAGGCAAACGGACACCCCGGACTGAGAAGCCCCCTTAAGAGTGCTGCAGGCACTCCAAACCAGGAATGACCGACTTGCAAGGGAAATGAGCAATAGCGAGATGACAATGTCCAGCATGCACAATCACATTAAAGGCGAGATAGTATCACAGTGTCCAGAAAGCAGAAATGCACAAATATAACACCAAAGAAGATCCGTAACACTGAAAACCAATGTCAATGAGAGCTTGCTCTCGCCACCACCAACATGAGTGTCCAGGCCCTATCTTCCTACTTGGCGCTCGGCACCCAGCCTACTATCTACACAGCTACTCTCTGCCTACTAATTGACAATGCAATTGTTTTAAGTCAGCAGCCTCCGAAGTACTTGAAGATGTCGCCCATACAGACTATCGCCAATACCAGGTATGTGCCCTCACATCATCATCATCATCATCCTTCTCTCTCTCTCCCTCGTCTTACTCCCACGTCTTCCCTTTGTACACCTGAAGACCACCTCTGCGCCTCACTGCACAACCAAGCCCAACCAGCTATGTAGGCGGGGCTATGGCGCTGCCCTTAGCAGCGCCCTGCTCCCTCCACGACCGCACGCGCTTGCACCTCGCCTCTCAGCGCCAGCAGCAGCCCACGAGTGTCCGCTCCAGCAGCGCTGCGGCAAGCATGCGAGTGCCTCAATGAGGCTGCCGGTGACAAGCTCTTTCCTGCATGGAAAGAGCCTCCTGCCTTCGCAGCCTGGCTGGACTGGCCTGGGCCCAAAAGCTTCCGGTAGGCCCCAGGATGCTGCGCTTGTGTTGCAGCCACTGGGCCTTTTTTCGGTTGGGCCTCTCAACTGTCAGTGTATGAGGCTGCGATTCTCGCCCAGGGCCTGCATTCCTGGAAAAGCCCAGAAGGCCGTGGAATATCTTTGTTGCTCGGCCTGTGTTTCCCTTCAACCAACTGGCGCGTCACAACTACCTGGACCCCAAATACGAAATTGACAGCCGAGGCCTCTCATGATGTGTTAGGCCTGCCTTCACTTAGGGCGGGCACAGATGCAACAGGGGCCCCTTAGGCCTGCCGAGGACCGAATCCTTGCAGGCTATTTGGCCCTGCTTAAAGGTGCTCAGTAGGGCGTACAAAAAATACTTCGAAAAATATCAGAGAAAGAACAAACATCAAGAGAAAAACAGACAGGCATAAAACTGTGTGTGTGTGTGTGTGTGTGTGTGTGTGTGTGTGTGTGTGTGTGTGTGTGTGTGTGTGTGTGTGTGTGTGCGCGCGCGCGCACGACTGTAGCCACCATTCCGGCCCTTTTCACCAACATTACATTCACCAAGAGCACTACCGGAACACCGCCAGCATTGCCCCTTTCCCCACCACCTCCAGCTTCACCAGCTAATTGGGTCTTCATTCGGTCTTCTTCCTATGCTGCCAGACCTTTACAATACCATCATCACCTCCTGCATGACCCGCAAATTTGCCATCTGGGATTCAGTTTCACTCTCTCCACCATCACCTTCTTCCACCATGGCCCATGACGCCATCACCCTTACCCTCACCCTCACCCTTACCCTCACCCTCACCCTCACCCTCATCACCGTCACCGTCACCGTCACCGTCACCGTCACCGTCACCGTTACCGTCACTGCTACCGTCACCGTTACCGTTACTGTCACCGTTACCGTCACCTCACCATCACCTCACCGTCACCTCACCGTAACCGTCACCGTCACCGTCACCGTCACCGTCACCGTCACCGTCACCATCACCTCACCATCACCTCACCGTCACCTCACCGTCACCGTCACCGTCACCGTCACCAGCACCGTAACATCACCCTCATCCTCACCCTCACCATCACCATCCCTTCCAAGGCACACTTACACTAAGACTTTCCACCCTCACCCTCATCACCGTCACCATCACCGTCACCGCCACCGCCACCGTCACCGTTACCGTTACCGTCACCGTTACCGTTACCGTCACCGTTACCGTTACCGTCACCGTTACAATCACTGTTCCCGTCACCGTTACCATCACTGTTACCGTCACCGTTACCATCACTGTTACCGTCACCGCTACCGTCACCTCACCATCACCTCACCGTAACCGTCACCGTCACCAGCCGTCACCCTCATCCTCACCCTCATCACCATCCCTTCCAAGGCATACTTACACTAAGACTTTCCTGGATGTGTCTGGCCATAGCCATGGCCAGAATCTGCTGGCAAGGTCTCAGTCTGAGTACGGTTTAGAGAGAGCTCATACCAGACCATATCAAGCACATTATTCGAAAGAGAAATAAACAAAGAAAATCAAAACAATTCCATTACTGAGCCTTTCCGTGCCCTCGTGTTAACCAGTGGGCGTTTTGCCCCACTTGAGGAGGTTTAGTTACTGGTTTCAAGTATCCACGGATCCCTGCCATCCGACCTCAAAATCTCAGGGCCGCAGTGTGACCACATTGGAAAATAGTAAAATACTAAAAACCAGAACTTGACCTCCCCAAGTCGGGCAAGGCCCTTGGAGGAGGGGGGAGGGGGGAGAGGGGGGGGGGGGTTAATAGAGATTATACTATCATATTATCATCTACACTACCAGAGTGGCCCGGGACCACTTGCCAGGCGGGCCAAAAAAGAAAAAGTCTGAAAAACACATGTATATGTACCATACTTGCGGCGCATCGATGTGCGCTGCACCGCACACACGCGCCGCACTGCGCACAGCGCACGACGCACGCGCACTGGGTGTGGCAAGTGGTCAAGGAAAAAAAAAAATAGTTGGGGAGGGGTGTTTTAGGCCCGAGTGGGATGTCGCGTCATAAACCACAAAAAAAAAAATAAAAAAATTGAGGCCGCACGGGGCCTCCGAAGAAAAAAAGGGGGGAAGTTAGTTTTTTTTTTTTTTTTTTTTTT